TGTAATTCCTAATAAGGTCCCCACGCAATCGCCATTATTGCCCACTGAAGTTCCCGTGCACTCAAAGTCTTCGTTCATATGGCAAGTGATACAGACTTTAGCACTATTGGTTGCCCGAAGTTATCTCCAAGGCGGTAAGATCTCTCCTTAACCATGACTCTTAGATCTGTATTGTGTATTCCACATCTGGATGTATGTATGAGCCGAAAAACTTGAAAAATCGAAGGGTCAGATCGTCCGAACGCACGCCTCAGGACGTCCACCTGTTAGATGCGCTTTTTCAGTCTGATCCTAACATCCAAAGTCGGTTGGACCACAATGCCCAATCCGTTTCACCAGAGGACGTTTGAAGCTCTCATGTGCCTAGTTTGTACAGCACATCATCTAGTGCCGTAAGTGTAGCACAACATGTAACGAATAAAACGCTCTCGTTGTGCCGCGCGTACCAACCGATCTCGAGAAATTCAAAAGACAAGGTGGCTCCTAGCTATACGGTGCTATTTACATAATGTTAATTAGATGATACAACGAACCTCAATTATAGGCGCTCTTGGTTAGTAACAAATGCGTTAAAAGACGCTCAACAAGGGGGTATCATCGTCCGTTTGTCAATCATCAAAGTGCATATGAACAGTTGGATAAATTACATAAGTGATACCATGTGTGGACAAGCGCTTAGTGGAATACGAAATCGCGGTGCGGTGAATGGTCAAGTTTGGCGAATGAACGTGAAGTACCAAAGGCCGTCCGGCAACTAGTGGAGTACGGCGGTCGAAGTCATTGTGTGGTCACCTACATGGGATACGGAGTTGGGGACACTTGCATACGCAAACATACACACACAGTGCGCATGATTTTCCTTCGGGCGCCCAGAGTAGATAAGTGTGTACATAAGGGCAGATTCGTACAATAAACAACAATCAATTTCAATCAAAGTGCTTGCATCCCAACGTAGAATACGAAATGGATGACAAGCGCAAACGTTGTTAGAGTTGAATACTCATCCTCGCGCGCACACAGAAGATACGACTTCGGATCAAGCTTAGGAAAACTAGGAGGATTTCTTGCGCACTTATTCACTTTACACTACATTTATCAACATCAGACCGAAGAAGATTCTGGATTGATTACGCGTAAACGCTATCCAGATCGACTTGAAGTATTGTAATATCGTGGATGTTTGTGAGAAGTGTAATATCATCCGGTATACTGATCGCTCTCCACATCTTCCTGTCATTGGCATACAGCAGGCAGTTTGAGCCTATGAGGTTTGTGATATCGTTGATGTACGTCAAAAATAACCGTGGCCCCAGTGCCGATTCCTCTGGTATTCCGCTTTCAACTTTTATGAAAGCTGATAGGGATTCACGCAGTCTTACCTCCAAGCCCCGGTGTAGGAAAAAGCTTCGTATACACCCTAGGTGACGATTACCAGTACCAAAGATCTTGAGTTGGGAGAGAAGGATACCATAGTTTAGCCGGTCGAGAAAAAGTGTATCAACTCCTGTGCCAGTGTCTACAGTGGTGCATATTATACGTGGGCGCCGTGATATCCCTCATGAAGTACGTATTGTCTCTTCTATAAAGATATCACACGAGAGTAGTAGGTGGAGTTGAATGGTATATGTTGACATCCATCGCATCTCAACTCAGTCATACCGCCATTGCACACCCGGAAAAGCACTGCGCGGCCGCTCCATTCTTTCGGGAATCGTCAGCAGTGCACATTCCATCTGAACTTTGTATAGCTCGAGCCCGCAACTCGACTGTTGCCATTGGGCTACGGGGGAAGGCTGTGACCGTCGTGACTAGGTTACTAGAAGTGATATAGCGCCGCTCACTTGCATATTACTGCCGTGCAGAGGACACGGTAACCCCATCACCAAGCAATGAACTTAACCAGCTTAGGTCATCAATTAACTAATGGCATTATAGGCAGTTTGGTCTGCGTACTGATTACGGAGGAGTAGTAGGGGGTTGGATAGTAGAAATTCATCACATCTGGACTCAGTCCGACAGGCATCACACGCTCGGAAAAGCACCGTACGGCCATTTCATCCTTTCGGGAATTGTCAGCAGTACGCATTCCATCTGACTCTTGTGCGGCTCAAACCGAGTGTGACGTGATTAATTTCTACCTATAAAGATATCACTTAAACTCAGTCTAATTAACCAGTCGCACCAGCACAGCTTACTTTGATGTAAAGCTCAATTTGAGAGTTTTCGGGCATTCCATAAGGATAAAACAGGAGCTCGGAGCAGCTTATCCCATTCATGCATTGGTACACCAGAAGAAAGTACTACTAGGCCAATTAGCATTATAGAGACGGAAAACTCGGGCCGGAACGGGCGAACTATAGACCACACCAATGGTGAACGCCAAAACGCCGGATGTCATGCAGGAGGAACCACAGAAATATCCGGTGACGACGACTACACTACGCAGCATACTGAAGGACAATTGTGACTGTGCCCAGCTTCGCGTAGAGGATTTGCGTTGTGAGTGGTCAGGCATAGTACACTTACTGTACGCTCACTGTCTCAATGGCCAAGTCGAAATAAGCTTTATGCACTTTTATGGATGCGTTTTCAGCACCTCACATTAACACTGCAGATTAGAAGATAAAAAAGTAAGAAAGAAAAACTTGACAGCAATAAAACGAAGATGTGTCTTTACTTAAACACACGGTCTTGCAAGTGGTGTTTCTTTCCTGATATGTCGGCTAATAAGCGTGACACACTAGGCAGGATGGAGTTGCGATACAACGTGCGGGAATATAAAACTGTTTTACCCATGTGGAAGTAGATATAGTACTTACTAGGATAGCTTTTAGATGGTGAGAGGGGTCGTTTAGAACCCCGGATGAAAAGTTGATGCACACGTCAGAATGTTTGTTAACGATAAGCGCAACGAGCGGTTCTCTACTTAATCCAGAACAACGAAAATAAATTTTTGCGAACGTGCAAATAGTACATTATCTGTTCGAAAAAGTTCCGGGAAAATGACAGGGGAACTTTATAACCAGTGAGGAAGGATACATGCAGTTACAAACCTTAGAATTAATGCACGAGGAACGGAAAGTATTCTGAGTCTGTGGGAGCAAATTGAGAACTTTCTAGTTTTTTGAATGTTCAGGAATATATGTAAACCAAGGCAAATTGTGAAATGAGCATCCTCCGAGATGTTCTACGGTAGTGGAACAAGGTGTTTTAATCACCTACAATTGAGGCAGGAGAGATATGTACGCAGTTTGTTGGGAAGTATAAAACACAACTCTAACTTATAACACTTAAAAGGGTTGAGAGAGTGGGACCGGAAGCTCGATCAAGTCAGTAATTCATCTAACCCTCATTGGAGTTTCAAAGAGTTCTCTATGAATGCAGTAATACAATCTAGGACGACGTCATCGGCATGTTTAGAGCAAATATAGTACAGATTTCCTGTCGCATAGCTACGTGGAGTTTTAGTTGTATCACGTATCACACTACACGCATATGGATGGTCGTCTTTTTTCGGAGCGGAGATGATCTGTCGATGCTCCCGAAGTCGTTGATATAATTAATAAAGAGGAGCCGTACGTCTTGCGTCTTTTATCTGGCGCGAACAAAACGGCATAAATTTGTAGAGCGTGGTGGTTTATAGGCAAACTATTTGACACCATCAGTATGACTGCTTGTGAAAATGCGGGAGATCCGTAGTTTTTCGGTGTCATTAACAGCACAGATATGCACGCAAATGTCCGACACTTATACATTTCAATGAATCACGGGCAATGCTAGATTTTAGCCAAGCAAATATTCCCAATTCATTAATATGAACGAATATCAGAAATCACTTCAGAGTAAAGAATTCTCATCAGACCCAAACGTTTACATAGCACTGATTGTGGGGAACGCGTCAACTCAAGCTGGGATTGACTTCTGGGCTGTTTGAACGATAAAAAATTGATAACTTGACACAGGGATAGAGATGGTAAGGCAAGTGAACTAAATAACCATGCATACACGTAGCACAACAGTCCGAAAAAATTAAGTAGGTAAGATAACAACCAAATGACTAAGTAACAGTGTCAGTTGGCCAAGGTAGTAGAATGGGCCGAATGAATCATCTTCAGAAGGTGGATGTAGATAGCCTCGGCGATGAATATGAGTTGTTTGCAAAATCATTGAGATAAGTGTTCAGGTATTGAGTAGATGACTTGTGCATTTCCTCTTGCACTGGTGTTATTCTGACTGATTTTCAGATGTTAGGGATGGCTCCAGATGTTAAACACCGGTCCAATATATCTGTAAAAAGTATATGTAAAGCATCTGCACATAATAAACGGCCGTGCTCTACAGTTCTATCTCAGAACTCGTATCCTCATAATTGGACGCACTGACGTGAACGAGAAATCAAGCCACTAAGGCCGTTTATAAATTCGTGATACTGCTTTCATATATCCGAGACGAAGAGAACATCGGGAGTTAAATGGAAAAATCCAGTTAGGTCCACCGTGTGACGAATTCCATCGTGGTGTTGTTAATTAACACACAAGCCATTCAGAGATGCATTCCATTAGCTCTATGATTCTCACTTTCAATCCAGACGTCTCAATGGCAGACGTCCTGCACATTTGGCGGATGCATTTACTCGCATGGACGATTCATTATAGCATCTGTCCCATTGTGAGCCGCAACAGAAACATTCGTCATAAGTGCGCATTTCAATGTACGTTGGTGACCGATCCTGAGAATGTTGAACGAGGTATCACAACACACGATAACTACCCTCAGTCCGACCATATATGTTCCCCACACTTTGGGATATAATAGAACCCCATTCCTCTGAGTCGTGCACTCTGCTAACCACTCTTGCAGGTTACGAGTATTTTCGAATGAGTCTCTCATCACACTTTGTCTTAGCCTTATTGTCCATATTACTTTGTGACAGTATGCTTTTCTTGTTATCGGTTCCATCTATATCAAGAAAAATTCTCACTCTATCTCTTTATTCTTAGTTGGAGCACGAGAACGTTCCCGGTGTTGTGGAGTCGTTGAAGATTATAACACGTGAGAACTCGGAAAGGTAAGTGCTTCGGCATTCAGCGCGTGATCTACTACTCTTGTTTCCCCGTAGGATTTCAGTGATCTTGCCGATTGAGCGTTACTTATCGTTCTCTTTCTGTTTCACCACAGAATCGCTCAATTCGCTTTCAATTACGCAGTGAGACATGGCCGTAAAAAAGTCACCGCTGTCCACAAAGCTAACATCATGAAACTCACCGATGGTTTGTTCCTGAACACTTGTGCATCTGTGGCCGAACTTTATCCACAAGTGAGTCCCTCGCGTTATAAAGTATTATATTTTGGAGCATTATTACGGTCACTAATTCTAACCTTAATACGAAAACAGTATACTGGTGTACCCGACGTCATCATCAATCACCAACTACAGCAGTACATCAGACACTTGAATTGATGCTTCGCTGCCACAAAATCATGATGGGCTTTGGGAATTGCCGGAAAACCTTAATGCCTTAAACAAACATTCAGAGTAAAGGTGTCTACACTTTGCCAACCACATACCGTCAAAAGCAACTAGTAACCGTGCAATAACAATGCAGCATTGATGAGACAGCTTTCTTGTGACACACTGCCCCGCATCATAATCAGCGTGTTTGAAATGGGATGGCATCCATTTCTATAAAACTAACTCATTGCCACCTCCCCGCTGCTTTGCGGACAGGCTTTTGAGCCAAAGACTTTGGTTGAAGACCCTAATTGTCCTCCTGTTTAGTCTAGGCGCCTTGGCAGTATCTCAGCACACACACAACCACGACAATTTCTCTAAACTCTGACTACACTCTGCATCGGCCGTCGCGCAGATTATCAAGGGTCGCCTTATCTGCTGCACACAGCAGGGCGGATAAGCGAAAACATGCTGCTGCTGGCGCCTCCTTTATTTTCCACCTGTTTCTCTTACTCCCATCCCGACCCCCATTACTAACCTTCCTTCTATAATTCCCAGCTTAATTGACAGCAATCGAAGTGCCATTGGAGTAGAACTATCTGCAGCCACCTTTCCACAGCACCCATCGAACGCCTATCGGCAACAGCCCCTTACAAGGCCACGCTGTCCCGTTTCCATGGCGGCGTTCAACGTTCGCACTCTAAGGCAACTAGGTCAATAGGATACACTCGCACGCACCTTGGACACACTGCGTATGGATGTGTGTTGTGTGTCTGAAACAAGGATCAATGACCCTATTGGGGTTGTTGAATTAACTGCTCCCGGTTTATCCTCTCGTTATTGGTTACATGCATACGGAGACGCCGATACAGCACTCACAGGTCAAGCTGGTGTAGGTATCATTCTAAGCTCCAAGGCAGATCCATGGTTGGTTGAATGGATTCCGGTGAACAGCCGTTTGTGTGCAGCCCGTTTGACGACATCCGCTAAGGTTTATTCACGAAATAGTACAAAACGCTGTTGCTCTGTGATTTCCGCTTATGATCCCACCGACTGCAGTTCAAATGCTGCCAAGGACATATCCTAACAAGCACTGAACGCCATACTACGCAGTGCAATAGTTCAGATATCATAAAACTTGTGGGGAATATGAACGCGTTAGTAGGGTGTTTGAGCTTTTCAGAAGCTCAGCTAGGCGGTAATTATAGGCTTAACTGCGGACGGACTGACAACGGCGAGCGTCTGTTGAAAATGTGTAAGGAGCACCAGTTGTTTCTTAGTAGCACTGCATTTAGACACAATGGGCGCCGAAGTGTCACTTGATGTCCTCCTGTAGCTGGCCAGCGATGGACCCAAACCGATCACACTGCCATAAATCACAGGATACTTGAATACCTGCGTCGACTCTGATCATGCCTTACTACGCTGTCGTTTCTCCAAGTAGGCGCATCAAGCGTCTCCTCCGATTGGCAACTGATAAATTGTCTCAGCCCTCGGTCAGGCAAGCCTATCAAGACGCACTGCGTAACGAAATTTCGCTCTCTTGTACTAATGACACTGAGCTTCAATGGAATGCAACATGCAGGAGCATCTGCTTGCGGCACTCTCAGTCGTCACCGCACTAGTTACTGGATATCCGAGAGGTCGGTGAAGCTGTCGGAATCCAGAAGAAAAGTCCCGGTTAGGTCTGAGCACAATGTTACCAGACGGATTAGTAGACGCAACCTAAATCGGGAGCTTACTTGCTGACAAGGAAGCCTGGTGGACCAGTCGGGCTCAAGAGATGGAGGAAGCACGAGCACTAGGCAATTACCGCGAGCTCTTTCAGCTGATCCGCAACACCAACCGCAGGAAACCAGGCGTCAGTTGAACCATCAGAGAAAGCGCAAGTGCACTGATTCACAATAGGCAGCGTCGCATGGCTCGTTGGGCGGAGCACTTTCGAGAGCAGTTTAGTTGTCCCATTGCTGCTGTACCTCGTCCTACTCAGCTGTTGCAGGATGAGCCATGGCCAGTTGTTAGGTTAGAGATCATGGGCGGTTAGTATTGAGCCTCCGTCGGAGGCTAAGGTCCGAAACGCGATCACTGCTCTCAATGGTTTTCGTGCTGCTGGCCCGGATTCATTCCCACCTGCTCTATTTAAGGATGGAGGTGAGGTCCTATGCAAAGCACTGACCTCCATATTCGAACGTATCTGGAAGGAAGAGAGTGTCCCGGCTAGCTAGGCTGAATCGATTGTAGTGGCAGTATACAAGAAATGCAGTCCCATCGACTGTTCTAATCACAGGGATATTAGCATAACATTCGTGGTGACAAAGTTAATGGCCACAATCCTCGTTCGTCGCTTCATTGCGGAGCGAGAATCCCGTATCAGAAAAGAGTAGACAGGTTTCCGACCAGAACGCGATTGTATTCACTCTGCGACAGGTGCTGGAGCAGCGCCATAGCGGAGCAGGCCGACAACAGCTGTTTCAATGAATCACGGGCAATGCTGATCTTCAGCAAAGCAAAGATTCCCATTTCATTAATATGAATCAATATCAGAAATCATTTCAGGGTAAAGAATTCTTTTCGGTAACTCTCATCAGACCCAAACGTTTACATAACAGTGATTGTGGAGATAGCGTCAACTGGGGCTGGGATTGACTTCTTGACTGTTTGAATGACCAAAATCGATAACTTGAGACAAAGATACAGATGGTAGACCAAGTAAACTAAATAAACATGGGTACACAAGGCTCATTGGTACAATGTAAATAAGTAGGTAAGATGACCGCCAAATAACTAAGTAACGTTGTCCGTTGGCCAAGGTAGTAGTATCGGCCGTATAAGTCGTTTTTGGACACATAATTCCGGCTTTAGATGGTGAATGTACATAGCCTCGGCGATGGATAAGAGCTGTTTACGGAATCCTTGGGAGAAGTGTTCAGGTAATGAGTAAATGACTTTGAAGTCATTCTCTGAAGCTGTATGGCCACATTCAAGTAGGTGCGACATGATAGAGCTGTCGGAAGACCTCATTTCGCCTCTGTAAAACCATGCCGGGATGTGTTCACGAACCCTCTGAGATAGGCGTCTCGTCGTGCGACCCACGTATCGTGCACCACAGGAGCACGAGTACTGATAAATGATCATTGAACGGGTCAACGGCGGTAGTCTATCCTTCAAGGGTTTTGTAAGCAACGGCTTATTGTGAAAAATGATTCTCAGGCGGGCCGCGAAATAAGTTTTCTCGACAGCATCTTTCAGGCGTCTGAATAACATATCAGCTGCAGAATCGCCCTTAAAGGGTATATGTATGAAAAGCTCTTTCTTAGGAGCAATGCTCCTAGGTGGCTTTCGATTACGTTCCTTCTTTACCCTGAAATGATTTCTGATATTGACAACAGCTGTGTTGGTGGACTTCAAGGGTGCGTCCGATTCGGTCCATCAACGCATTCTGTTGGAAATGCTTGCGCGGAAAGATGTTTGCAGGAACATTTTACTTACCCTATACTCGAACACTACAGACAACGTAGGAGCTACGGTGACCTGTCGGATACCTTTCCGAAAACAAGTGGCGTTCGTCAGAGTTGTCCAATTTCCGCACTTTTGTTCAACTTCGTCGTGGCATTCATCATATAGTTCTCTCACCAAATCGCATGATGTAGTCGGATTACCTGTTCGAAGTGTGTTTGGCGCTGAGTTATCTCCGGGGTAATGGCTGATTATGACGCGGGGCAGTGAAAGCCGCAAGGAAGCTGTATCGCCGATGCCGCCTTGTCTGCAAGATAGAGAGCTGTTTGTGACGGTATGTTGTCTACACAACGTGTGGGCACCTTGACCCTGGATATTTGCCCAGGGTATTAAGGTGTTAATTCCCCCATCGCTTCCTCTTATTATTCTTAATTCCATAGGTCATCATGGCTGTATGACAGCGAAGCATCAGTTCAAACGGCTGACATACTGCTGTTGTCGATTGCTGTTATGGCAGTGTGATCGGTTTGGGTCCATCGCTGGCCAGCTACAGGAGGACATCAAGTGACACTTCGGCGCTCACTGTGTCTAAATGCAGTGCTACTAAGAAACAACTGGTGCTCCGTACACATTTTCAACAGACGCTCGCCGTTGTCAGTCCGTCCGCAGTTAAGCCTATAATTACCGCCTAGCTGAGCTTCTGAAGAGCTCAAACACCCTACTTACGCGTTCATATTCCCTACAAGTTTTATGATATCTGAACTATTGCACTGCGTAGTATGGCGTTCAGTGCTTGTTAGAATATGTCCTTGGCAGCATTTGAACTGCAGTCGGTGGGAGCATAAGCGGAAATCACAGAGCAACAGCGTTTTGTACTATTTCGTGAATAAACCTTAGCTGATGTCGTCAAACGGGCTGCACACAAACGGTTGTTCACTGGAATCCAATCAACCAATCATGGATCGGCCTTGGAGCTTAGAATGATACCTACACCAGCTTGACCTGTGAGTGCTGTATCGGCGTCTCCGTATGCATGCAACCAATAACGAGAGGATAAGCCGGGAGCAGTTAATTCAACAACCCCATTAGGGTCATTGATCCTTGTTTCAGACACACAACACACATCCATACGCAGTATGTCCAAGGTGCGTGCGAGTGTATCCTATTGACCTAGTTGTCTTAGAGTGCGAACGTTGAACGCCGCCATGGAAACGGGACAGCGTGGCCTTGTAAGGGGCTGTTGCCGATAGGCGTTCGATGGGTGCTGTGGAAAGGTGGCTGCAGATAGTTCTACTCCAATGGCACTTCGATTGCTGTCAATTAAGCTGGGAATTATAGAAGGAAGGTTAGTAATGGGGGTCGGGATGGGAGTAAGAGAAACAGGTGGAAAATAAAGGAGGCGCCAGCAGCAGCATGTTTTCGCTTATCCGCCCTGCTGTGTGCAGCAGATAAGGCGACCCTTGATAATCTGCGCGACGGCCGATGCAGAGTGTAGTCAGAGTTTAGAGAAATTGTCGTGGTTGTGTGTGTGCTGAGATACTGCCAAGGCGCCTAGACTAAACAGGAGGACAATTAGGGTCTTCAACCAAAGTCTTTGGCTCAAAAGCCTGTCCGCAAAGCAGCGGGGAGGTGGCAATGAGTTAGTTTTACAGAAATGGATGCCATCCCATTTCAAACACGCTGATTATGATGCGGGGCAGTGTGTCACAAGAAAGCTGTCTCATCAATGCTGCATTGTTATTGCAATGAGTTAATTTTACGTGAATGGACGCCATCTCGTTTCAAACCCTACCCTGGCGGCCAGGGTTTGTGTGACGTATAAGCATTTACGCACTTGATAGAGGTAGCTCTCATGGGGCCCAGATGCACCACCCAGTATAGCTCAGCGAGTCAAAGAGGTACGCAAACTGTCGCACCAAGTTTAGGTTCAGACTTGTTGCGACGTCTGATTACAAGTACCTCTATCGAGACCATCTCATGTTATCGTGATCTTCAGGCGGAGTCGGCCGTGGTCTACCTGTGTGGCTTGCAATCATAAGGTCACTGATTCTAATCCGCATAGGGGTGTGCGTCCTCGCGGTTTACTCAGCCTACACGCGACCGGTGGTGGTCGCCGTTACGGCATCCTGCTGACGATTTATTTCTTCTCCAAGCAGACGACTGAAGCATGACTTGATGCACTTTAACGATTTGACACACTTAACCCCATTTACTTGAGCTAGAATTTCAGCATTATTCTGTTAGGGGGCTTCGCAACAAAGGCTTGACTTTACTAAAGGCCTTCATCCGAATGCCCTTTAATTTCCTCACCGTCGTTTATGATTTCCCGTAAGCTAGGGACCAACCACAATCACGTGTGAACTTGACACGAATACTAACATATTCTCATCAGAAAGATCACCTAATTATTCGTGTTAAGAGGACCGAAAACGGTTAACGGAGTTGGAGTAAATATTCACACAAAGCAAGTATCCTCAACTGTTTTGGAGTGCTATGGAAACAGGTAATTTCTCTGTTGGCAGGCAAAACTATAACAACGCAGCGGGCTCATTACTGCACCTGCAATGTCACAATTGCTACTGATATCCCGACAACTGCTTTCCAGTGCATTAATTCGCAATTCATTTATCCGCGTATCCTTTGTCACTACACAGATTGAATTCAACTCTATGATCATAGACAATACATGCATGCAATTGGTCAGCAAGCCGCAACAGTTTGATGTGATTGTACTACCCAATTTGTACGGAAATATTGTGGGCAATGTGGCCGCTGGTCTCGTCGGTGGTGCGGGCCTCGCGACTGGTGTAAATTTGGGTGACCGGAACGCACTGTTCGAAATGGGCACTCGCAATTCAGGCAGATCACTAGCCGGAAAGGACTTGGCCAACCCGTGTGCTATGCTGCTCACCTCAGCAGACCTCTTGGAATATTTGGGTACGCGTCAGATTCCATTTTGGCTTTCCAATGACCACACTTACACCTATAGACAAATTCTCCTATGACTAAGGATTTCATAAACCCCATGATGTCTTCTTTGGTTTCTACTTGGTCCATGTCACCACTTGCTGTAGGCCTCGTGGGTTCTCTTTCATAACAGGGTTATAGAGAAACTCCGTGGCCAACCAATTTTTTATGGATTCGTACTTAGTCTTGGTTTTGGCTCATGCTGCTGTAATCTACATCATTTTTCACCGTACATCTGATCATTTAAGCAAACGACTATTTGCTGTTCATCCACTCGTACTTGAGCTACGTAAATCAGCAGCCATTTGAATCGGCCTGTATCCAGAACATCCGAGTGAACTTTGCCGACAGACCACTCGAGAAGAGAAATGGTATATCGTTCCGATCGGATGCGAATAATAAAAACCGATTTGCATTCAAAATATTCCGAAAACTTTGCAACACACGCGGCCCCCGGACTGTTGCTCACGCATCTGTACCCATTGTTTAACCAGTAGCGCTTTAAGCCCTCTTCTTAATTGTTTCGAAAAGCCAACCACATACTTATCAACTCGAGACAAATGGTATGCTGAGTGTCGTATGTTTCCGATATGGAATTTGCTTATTCATAAGATGCGCTTAGCATGGAACTGAATTGTTGTACATAGTAGCCACTGTGGCCCTCAGAGTAGCCAGCTTTTTGTTGCTATTTTTTAATCATTAAACGCGCTCTGTGATCAACTTTTCTCTTCTCTGAATTCTTTCTGTCCATTTACTTAGAAGTAAGAGTCGAGCCCATGAGTGCCATCGCCCTTCTAGGACATCCGCCGTGCGTTTGTTTTGGTTGCTACATGTAATCTCGGTTTCACCCACGACACTGTCTAAAAGTTGATTGTTCCATAATTGGAATGGAATTCGGAGTAGTGACAGAAGTAGCCGATATTCATCATAAATGAAACTGTTGTCTAAGTTCAAAACGCATGTTACAATTTGGGCATGCAATGAGTGTACAAGACTCTTGACCCGTTGTGTTCCGTTCAAATGTTGATCCGGTCACGGCAGAACATCGATCTGGTGATATCGCTCGGAAATGAGGAAAAGCAAAATCCTCCAGTGTGACTTTATAAGCCCACTGGTATCCGTCTTTCGCTGTAAACCATGCTGAGTCGTAGATAGTTCTCTGTTGAGAGCATTTGTCACCTGCGGGAGCTGATCACTATGAAGCAGAATTGATTAACTATACCCTTTCTCATCCAATTGAATTCATTGCGCTTTCAAATTCGTCCTTAAGGAAATCCTGTTCCTCTACAGATCTTACAAGATGTTCCACAACGCTTTCAAGTTGAATCCAACGGGCGCAAACACTTCTAGAAGTTACGTGTTATTTGTTGAGTGACCAATCTCAAATTATCAGATGAACACTGAGTGGGATTTGGATTAAGTCATTCAATGGACCGTAGCACTTGAGGGAATGTGCGCCCGCTGGATTCAACTTGAAAGCGTTATGGATCATCTTGAAAGATCGATGGGACATAATTTGTTGGGGAAAAAGTTGAAAGCGCTATGGATTCTTTTGGCTGAGAAACAGTATAAACAGGGACTAAGGTAGTGATGCTTGACCTGCGTTGCAATTCCATTTGATTAAACTCACTTTCTTTTGCCATTCAGGTCAAGTCGATATGGCAGAGAAGGTTCGGGAAGCCATTATCAGTGTGATCAGCATCCAAAAGATCCGCACGAGGGATTTGGGTGGTAAAAGCTCCACTCGCGCCGTCGTCAACGCTGTGATCGAAGCCATTTTACGAGCGCAGAAGTAGAACCAGTTGCTGATAGTTTTTGGTATTTCCGAGTAAAATGGCGCCCTCGGGGCCAATCTAGTTTTTCATCAAAAGGGACTCTCTACATTGACATTTCATCCCAATTTACTTCTCACTCATTTAAATGTATGTATGGCTGGGTTTTACAACCGCCAACGCCCTTCTCTGTAGCTAAGCTATGAACATAATACTCTTATCTATCTCTCTTCCTCGTCTAACTACTTTATTACACTGCTGGGAGCCTAGACCATATTCGGTAGTCCAATTCCCCGACCGCTTTGATCTTAGCATATTTTAAATGTCGAGTCTGCTGTTTACTTAACTTTTCATCCGCACAGTATATATGGAAGTGAGATGGGTCAAAAAGTGCACTTGAATCGGAGAACAGACTTAGCGGCTACCACAATATCATCAGAGTTCGTCAGAGGTAGTCTCACCTCTAACCGTGCCACGTCGTATGGTCAGTAATCTCCGATTAACACTACCAAATGGAGAGCTAAGAGCTCTATACAAAGAACTCACTTGGCCTACCTATGACCACGTTAAGCGCTAGATCACATCAGCCCTGTCTGCTCGATTAATTTTCTAAGTGCCATTCTTTGAACTGAGGTGGATATTGCGACATAGTTGCTGAAATATCTCTCATCCCTAGCGAAAATGTAGAATAAAAACGATACATATACATACTATTGGCGCCGCAGAGCCGCATATGCGAGATTTAACCAAGCGTCGACTCAATCATATATGCGTGGGGCCAGATAATCTCTGCAGCTAGGAAATATTGTGCGCGTCTCGGTGATTCGGTGTTGCTCCTCCCAACCCTGAGACCCCATGACCGGTTTCGTCTTCCTTTAGACTCATCAGATGGAGATACCCTGAGCTGGGGTGGACCTCGAGGTATAGTGTTCAAAGGTTGACGCCCTGACCACTATGGCTCCTAGGTCCACGAGCAACGTTTGGCACAGCGGTAATGTGTTCCAAGCGGCATTTGGTGTACTCGCTGTGTGGGCGCGTCTCTTTAACTTATGCACGGTTCAATACGTTTGGTGTGCGACTGGCTGTCTTGTGTGGACACCTATGTGATGAAGTAAGGTAAGTGCCGTACCTTTTGGGGATAGCACGGGTCACCCTTCGTATATCGTGCGAAACCTCACCATCAAGCTTTTGCATGATTGATTGTAAATTCGGAGTGCGATTTTCAGGTTGTGTGGCGATAATCTGTTTGCCGGGTTCGTCTATCTAAGTGTTTAGCAACAAAAGGGGCGTGAAAAATTTTGTCTTATTATTTCCCCCGACATGTCCATACCCGGCGTATTGGCCCATCGTTTCAGATAGACTGTAACTGTACAGTATGGGATCATATGAAATTCATGAATGAAAAACGAGTCAGGTTTAGTGACTTATTAGACACCTTAGTTTGTAAATTAACGAATTCACCGAAGCCATTGTACTCATCCTTTATCTGCCAATTACAATGATTCGACAGATTACCCGAGCATATCACCTACGTTCTGCTCTTCTACTTTAAGCCAGCCGGTAGCCTAAAGGCAACAAGCTTGTCTTGTAATCTGATGGCGCGGGTTCGACCTTCGCAGTATCCTTAACCCACATACGACCTTTTTGGCGAGAAACCGATCGTAGAGTGCACCGCTGTGAACATTCAACGCTTCGGATGCGATCCCCGTGACTGAGATGACTAGTGATTCGCGGTCCTGGTGGAGATTGCGTGTCGCAGTCCGTTCACACAACGACGTCTTTGAAATGAAGCACTCCAGTTACTCATTAACCATAGTGACAAGCGTTGCTTACCGTGACTCGGTGGCCAAAGAAGTAGTGGACTCAGCTAGCATCCCGGGTTTGAGTCGCAACCCGGCAGATGCACGTGAAAAGTGCAATCAGGTAGAAAAACAGTCGTGGAGTGCAACACTGCGAACGTCTATCCACCATAGCGTGTGCCCGGAGTTGCGCTGTTGAACATCGAGCGACTCGATCCATCGCATTTCGCTGCTGGACCAATCGTTGATAAAGTTGAGTACCATGAGTACACTGTGTAGACTGTAAGGACGCTCCGCACTGCGGGCATCTGTTGAATGTAGTGCACTGGGGCTTCTGATAAACAGCGTGTCAATAGTGAGACCAAAAGCTAACCAATGCCACACCATCTTGATCAGAGTTGGTGGAGAGTGCGGCTGCAGCGTCCCAAAGAGGAATCAGTGATGGCATTTATGGATTTGTACATTATGCCCTCTAAATAACTACTGATACTCCGCATAAACTACGCTCCACTTATAAATGCCTAATCGTGTTGCAACTCTGATACGCCTGCACTGACGCGTCTAAAATTCTATTTGTGTTGGCCCACGAACACAACTGCTAAGGTGTAGATTTCGATACTTGATCGAAATTGTATTTACGAAGTTCAGGACATGGATGGTCTCCTGGTACACAGTGGAAAGTGCGGAGGCAGCCGCCACGCAGTTACATTTCGTTTTCCGGTGGATATATGGGCACCTATGCAAGAGAATGAGCTCACCGCGGTGTTGTTTGACTTCGTTTGTAGGCACGACTGCTCAGTGGCGGCGCATTGTGGTTAGTGATTCGTAGGGAGAAGGAGGAACTGGGCTTGCAAGCGTGATCGGCGATCGCACAATATGTGTTGGATGGTGCAAGCAACATGCTACTGCGGCAGGGATAGTGGGTGATGTTTGACCATAAAGATGCACTAGCGCGATTTTGTAGAACGACAAAGGCGCTGCACGTCATTACTTTTGCGCGATACTCAACAAGTTGGGTGCCGTGCGTAAGGAATTGGAGTGAGTCCGGAATCAGGCAGCACAAATCCAAGTGAACCACCTTTCTCACCATTTCTTTTTCGCCCCCGTTTTCTCGAATTTAGTTTGCATTATTCCCTATTTACAAAATGTTGCCGATTATCGCTACATTGATAGCATCTTGGTCCGTCGCACTAGTTGACTACATGAACTGAGTTGTTGCTGGAGTTCCGCGTCGCATTTCACGGTGCGGAGTGTAAGACATACTGTAAACTATAATATGCAGTTACAGAATGCTAGTAAACAGCGTTTTACTGGTTTTTGTCTACCAGTTGTTCGCACCATTAACGAGAGTATGACGTTTCATAGGCACTCGTCTTAAATAGATGCTCACCGTTGTACCGAATGTTACTCGCGGACTTCAGTGGCTTAGTGTGCTCAAGACGGCAGCCAGCGACCGCCACGCGTCATAATATTTCGTTGCGAAATTCCGCTATCTGGGGCTTAAAGAACACACAGAACGGAACCAGTTGTGGAGCGCGGTGTTTGGAGCGAGCAATATCGAAACCCCACTCTGGATGCATCCCCAGCGATCGTTCACTTCACAGTAAATCATGGTTCCCACCCTTTAAGCACACAACAGGCCCTGAATTCCTGATAATTGCTAATCGCGTGCTGTGACTTAAGGCATTAGATGTCCCGGTTATCTCTGAGGATTACAAACAAGGATGACACCGGTCGTGAATTGCAGTGTAAAAAGCGAGTAACACCTAAAACGTCTCCTGTACTACTCTCGTTTGGCAATGAAGCGTCTGGCCAACTCTGATGGCGGTAGACGTCCTCCAACGGATGAAGTCCAGATGACCACTTATCACACGTGGACTAAACTTGCTATGGAAATGGGTTTGTTCTCCATCTTCACAGATTCAGCGGGTGTCATATTAGCATATGCGTAATATCGGCACCACAAGACCGAACATAGTAAGTCACAGGCGAAACCCGACCACAAGTGTGGACTCACTATAGGCCGGACAAACACTTTACTGCACGCAATTTGTAATCCCAAAATGCCACCTCTCGAGAGTGAAATAACGAGATGGTGTGAAAAACGAGCCATGAGACAATGGAAGAAAGGAAATGACAAGGATAAGAAAATATCGCATCGAGGAGGTAGAATTGGGCCTCTGACTGGAAGCGTAGTAGAAGTCAGTGTAGTATCCGTTCAGCCATATTCACATCGATGACCGCAGCCTGCAGGACATTCGAGACGTTTCTTGAGCCATTCCTGCAAGAAAATAGGAAGAGAACTGATAGGGGTTCCCGAGCTACCACTATGACTGTTGACTTTTTCGAGCGATGTGCCAGTCATAGGCCCGTTTTCTAACGAAGCAGCTTGCTCCTGGGTACATCACGAGAAGCTGCAGAGATAACATTTAAATAATACCTTTTGCACGAAACGAGTGACGGTATTTGGCAACAAGGACGGTACTACGTCGCGGTCACAGTCTGTCCGCGCGAATCACGCCGCTATTGCCGAGAGAACATGAGTTCGTTTTCTGGTGGGGACGGGGGGTGCGCACTTCAGGCAAGTTCCAATAAAGCAGACCGCCCATCTAGTGCTTTTCTGAATGTGTAGAAGTCTGGGAGCTAGCCACAATGAATAAGGCACGAAATTACAATGAATTGAGTGGCGAGTCAGAAGAAAAGTAACAAGTCCGGGTAACAAAAAAGCATGCAAGCTAAACTATTGTTTCGATGCTGGGATTCAGGATAAAGAGCAGACGAAAAACAATTACTAATTAGGAACCCGCCAAGATGGGCAGTCAGTTCCGAAGTACCCACACCAGAGCAGCAATCAGGTCCAAGTTGACAGCCACCGCGTGCAGACGATTCGACCCACAAGCAATCTTACCGCAGGGGTTAAACAAGTCCTCTTGAAAAAGGGTGGATCATCAGTTGCGATTACGAAACATGTCCTTCAAAAACATTGGCGGTATCTTGACAAGCAAACAGAACTCGGTTTTGGTAATTCGTATTACTACGCTAAATCACTATTCCGATCACCAATGGTTTGAAGCCAATGCACTAATGCGGCCCGATAGGACGAAACGGCAATCCAACGTTGTTTCATACGAGAGTGGCTGTATGACTGCGTCAAGATGTAGAGAGCCTATATCATGGTGCACGTCGTCTTATCGAGAATAAAACCTTCATACATACCTGAACCTTCAAATTTCTGTGCTGCTCTCTTCACATAAATTCTGCTAATCAAGAAAAATAGATGCCTCTACCGGAATTAGCCAATACTTACGTCATGCGTTTTCAGGTCTACATTCGGATACCCAAAATTTCGAGCTGTCAAAGCATCTGCAGGGGGCACATAAACCAACTACTTGCAGGACTACTTGACACATTCCAGAAACAACATAGCATGATAACTGAATAACAATTCGCGCAGTCAATCGCATTGTATTCCGCTACCCTGTCGAAATGATAAGTAGCTCAAAACAGTACTGATCAGGTGCCTTAATATATGTAACGACTTGAAATTAGGAGAACCGTTGGTCGAATTCACGAAAGCGTAGTTGCATTATTGCATTGTAAACGCCATAATTACCTTTGATAACATTCCTACCTTCGCAATTCCCTTCGCCTAACAGTCTCCTCACTGAGAGGGCCACTACGAATTAAAAAATGCATCCTTATAAAAGTTAAGGAAACGTCGTCTGTGTTACGCCTTAAGTCGAAATTCGCAGTCCTACAGCACGAGAAACACGGCGACGGATGATGACAGTAGATAGATCTCAGTGTTGCCAAACAGGGGACAATATCGGTTATTCGGCATGGAGTTGTGTGCACTTTGGGCGTTGTTAGAGCACCAGAAAGTTCTACAGAAGGACAATATAGTCAACAAGATGTGTTGCTGGAGTTTGATCAGGTGACTCGTCGTATTTCAGCTTCCGCACTGAAATGACTTAGTTGATGATGCTCGAAACGCACATATATTTTATCGGTACACGCGTCCGGTATATTGAGCTAGACGTAGTCTAAGAAACCCTGAAAACAGCCGTAGGGTAGATGTTAAGTGGTGTTCGCACGCAACACTGTACTCCACGGCCGTTGGGATTGCGACTCGGACGTCAGTCGACGCCTCCACATCTAAATCATCCAGTCTGCCGGCGACGCTTGTCACAACGTTTACTAACTAACTGGAGGGATCATTCTGAAGCGAACAACATTCGATATTTATCAGCTTCAGATACGGTCCAAGTAACGAAATCGCGGTCCGTGTTGGGGTTGAGCGTTGCAGTCTGGTCACACAATGAGTCGAAATGAGCCCTCCAATGCATCATAGGATGATTATGGGTATGGGTACCGTTGACCTGATGGAAGGGTATGCATTGTTACTGCAATGACATCACGTGACATGATACTGCCGTGGGGAGGCGTATTGTAGACGAAGTCATTGCTCACCCGGAACGTTATTGAAGCGATCCACTGATATCTGCACAAGTTTCAGTGATTCTTGTCGTCTCTAAACAGTATGACTACCGGTACATTTGAGACTGTAGCGCGAAGATGAAGTAGGCGCTTGAAATGCCACTACCAACATGATGTTATCCTTTGCTAGTTTATCAGTAACGTGGATTAATTTCACGCTATTTGTAGCTACCGTCGGTGGTCGTCCCCAGTGGGGAATAATTAGAATCGGAGAGAGCGAGGGCGTGATTTGCGTTTAGGTAAACGACGTGAAGCGACCGGTACTCGGTGATGGCAGGATGTGACCACTTGAGAAATAAGACGGTCATAGACACCCCACAGGTTAGTTAAATAGTAAAAATAAAGCGACCAAAAACTCGTTCTACCGGTGAAGATTCTCAAATCGGTATGTGAAAACACAAAAATACTTCAAAATATGTAGGCAGGCATACCGTGCCGACGCTTCGTCGCCACGCGATCACCAACAGTTGCGCGTGGGCTGAGTATATCGCCAGGTCACCCCTTCTGACGCGCATTCGGACCGGTGACTTCCGAATTACAAGGCAAGCGCGTAATCCTTTGGACCACCGGCAAACAAAACAAGGTAGATATATAGTGCAAATTTAAGCGTTCGCGTCTCCAAGTCGACAATAAAGCACAGATAAATTGAGATCAAACCCGCAAAGTACGCGTAATTCGCCACTTCGCAAGTGACCAAACAGAAAAGTGAAGTAGGATGGACGATAGTCTCCCAAGCCTACTCACCAATGAGGCGGCGACACCAAAAGCGCCATCTCGTAATTAATTAAGGCGTATAAATTGGTGGGAAGCGATTCCTCCCAAAGTAACGGTTGGTCAAAAATCCGTAAGATGGGGGGCAAGGTCTGTGACAGAAACAGGTAGTCATTATACAAATTGGTAAAAGCTCATGGCATTATGGTGGCCTAATTCGCGGGCCTGCGTTGAGCTCAGAGATTCAGCAAACTGCACCTTGAATACAAGCGCTTAATAGATATGTGTGGGAAAAAATCAGATACTCATCAACCGTGCATTTTTGGTGCCGTAGGCCGTAGAGAACGGTAACGTTGCCATTGCACTAAGGCCAGAAGAGTAGGCCTATCACTTACATATCTACATCTTTATCCCCAAGTGGTAAAACAGGAAAGAGATGTAATCTTCTTCCTCAAGTCGTCGATACACTTAGGTTATAATTCGCACAAACGCTTCCATACATCAGTCAATGCTCGACTACTGGTGTGAAACCTCTCATTTGGCTGTTGAACGTGTAACCCTTAATGCAGAAATGTTTGCGATTATGGGGTGGTCAAAACGTATTGGTACATTACCTGTATGTGCTCCAAATGTCCTCCGTGTGAGCAACCGCGGCACCAGACGAAGAGGCCTTTGACAGTGAGGTGGCAAAGCGCACACACTGCATTAGCCATGTCCGTATGCCTGGTACATGCCCAACCAGTATGGCCGGTGGCGCGCTGAGTGGCTTCGTGACCAGCGAATGGTTTGGAGCAGCGGCCACAATGGATGGTCAGTCTCGTGGAAGCTTGGTTCACTGCACACACTCCAAGCGCGAGGGCCACATGTGAGGTGGGAGCAGTAGTCTGAGTTCCACTACCGCTCCTAAAACGAGTTCTGGGTTCCATGGCGTCTACTCTCCCAGAATCTGATGAACTAGCTGCTTTGACTGTGTTTGCATCGGCTGAAAAACAATGATGGAAGCAATGACAGGGTGGAAAGAGTCGTATGGTGAAAACTGTAAGACGGGGGTGTACCAGAGAATTTTGGGAAATCCAACAGTATGCATGTCATTCCCAAAAAGCACTAGGCGACCAGATTGTGAGACACAGTGGGCGATTTTCGAGATGCTGCAGTGAAGCACACCATTGGAGGCTCCATCGCAAATAAAGGTGGCCATCAAAAATCCTAGTGTTGTACAACGAGTTAAGGGAAACAAAAGAGTGGTAGCAATGGAGTTTCAGATTGAAGACAATTACTACGAAGGTTGAACACATATTAGAGCAACTTTCGTTTCACCATACAAATGTGACCCTAATTAGGTTGAATTGGCTATTTGTGTGATGAACTCTCGCCACATTGCCTGAAGGAGAGATGAAGGATGCACGCGAGATTGCGTGCCGCTTCACACTGTACTGACGATGTCACCTAGCATGGTGGTGAGAAGTTTGCAACCAAACTACTAAGCTCGGAGAACAAATGACCAATTGTATCGCCAACCCAGGGACCATATGACTTGAATGTTATTAACAACAATTACTCATGTCACCATCATTACATGTTAGCTGGAGATAATAAACACATTACTGCCATCATGCCACAATGCAAAAAAGTAAGATGTATTAAAACGCTAGATATTAATTATTACAGACATGAGTTAACCTGCGAAGGCATGGATGGTCGACCGTTACTAGCTTCCTTATATCTTTCATGACTCTTCCTCTTTCATGAACCAGCCGCCTTCATGGTGTTCCCGATCTTCACCGGAAAAACTGACAATGCTCGTGTGCTGACAGAAGACGACAGTGACGTACCTATCACATCTCTGCATAACTCCAACTATTGACAACGTTGCATGCGTGATCATGTTGCGCATGTATATATGGTACATTCCTTTGTGGACACGATTTCTCAATAGCATGAGTAATTTATTATTATTATTATTAGAGCTGATGGGTCCGGTTTAGTGACCATACGGGAAAGTTGAACGGGCGGCTGCATTGTGAACTCTGCCCTTCAGGGCGAGAGTGATGTCGCGCCGGCGACATTGGTGGCGGAGTGATAAAAGTGCTTTGAGCTTTAGCTATACGGTTTGTGAGCACATATATTCCACAGGCGGTAATATACCTATCCAGTGATTTGAATTTTTGGGCGACTCAAAACGGACCAACAATAAGGGCCAACCAATGCGTAAGCCCCTGTCATTCTAGGAAAAAAGAATTCAGTTCGACAGCGCAAAGCATAGTCCAAAATGATTAACAGCCAGTGCTAGTCTGTTCGGCGTTGCTTGGCAAGTTTAGTAGTTGTCACAGATAAGGAAAATACTGCCGGTGTACAAGTCAAGAAGTCGATAACCCAGGAGAGGCTCCACCTTTTCAGCCATGCTCAATTTATGCAGCTTCCATTGTTTCATCAATGGCCAAGTTAGAGAGGAAAGGTGACATCAACTAACATTGTCTCACACCGACGTGATAATGAAAGGCGTCGGCAATTTATAGTTTGTCCTCAATCTGCCCGAATTATGCATGTACAGTACTCTTACGGCGTTTACATACTTGTTGGGCACACATTTTCTAAGCAGACAGTCCCAAAGGGTCCGTCGATCCACCAATTAGAAGGCGTCATTGATGTTGAATCGCATGACTATGATACCAGTGCTCCAACAATTGACGTATGTGGTCACAGCAGCCTCGATTTTGACGAAACCCGGCGTACTCTTTGTCAAGCTAACATTCACAGGTGCCAGCCAGTCTATGCAGAAAAACAGACCCAAGTAACCAGGACGCAATTGAGACCAGACTGATCACTATGTGATTGTCGCATTCCGAACGCGAGCCTCTCCTGAAAATTGGGATTATATTGGAACGGCTCTAGTCTGCTGGAACAGTCTCCTACCCCCACAGTTGTGCAAATCATTCATAAGAGCAAGTTTTCCGAATTTGAAGATGGCTGCAGGAATTCTATCTGCTACAGCGGTCTTATTCAATTCCAACTGTCCGATCTCAGGTTCCACATCTGTGCTAGAATGCGGATCCAAGAGATAGCTCAGGGAGAAGGGCGATCACTGGACGGAAGGGAATATGACAAATCTGGCTGATTAAACTGCTCTTCAAAGTGTTCAGCCTTTAACGTTCCAAGCATTTTGACAAGCTGTGGATTTGCTATCCACTCTCGTCGCGTAGGATTCAGCCAACACCAGATCTCCCGCTGCCCGTTTCCAGTAGAAGACGCAATAATTTACGATCGTGACCAAGGGCAACGGCTGCTTCATTACTAATGCACGATAAGACCGCCAGGCTACCCGGTCTCTCTATAGGCTAGAATAAGGTTTAACCCTGTCAGGTGTCGGCAACCACTGTTTCCGTATGAAAAAAAATCGTGGCTTTGAGTCCAGCAGCGAATCGAGTGAACGCGTACAGCTGATGTGTCCTGAAATGATGGAACCACCATCCATCAGATGTGGATAATCTGTGTCTAAAACCATTTGGAACCCCTCAAATACCCCTTGCAGAGAAATCCCAGGGAAATACAGCAGCTGAAGTAGGTGAGACAAAGGATCATGCATTTTGAATGCAGTCATAAAAACTTCTACGATCGAATAGGTAACACTTATCGCAAGCTTGCCTAACGTCAACGGATAAAGTTACGAAGTTTTTAGATAAATGCATAACAAGGAGCATCTAGTATAAAAAGAACCTGACCCTTATATCATGATCCTACTGGGTTATTGTTGTCGCTCTATACATAAGACAAAGAGCATCCGGACATTACTGACACACTGATTTTTGGTGCAAAATACTGAGCCTCCATTGTCGCACAGCGAAAATGCAACGAAAAAAGCACCGCTCCAAGCGGAAAATGAATTTGAGAACTGACAGATGTCCTCAGAGCGATGAATCAGCAAGGAAGGGATTGTGACCTACATTTCCCAAACTGTAAAAAAATCCACAGCCAACGTTACTCTTTGGATGTCAGGCTCTCGATTGCAGCTTCCGTTAAAAGGTTTCGAGTGTAGGTTGCAAACCATGCGCGCACGCAACCTAAGAACAGTACACGTGTGACCAGGAGTGTGGCCGGAGTGAGGCGCCACTCAACTACGCACTGATGATGTCACCTCGATTGGTGACGAGACGTTTGTAACAAAATTGCCAAGCTCAGGGAACAGTTCAACCGCTGTCGTTTCTTTTGTGCTCAGAAAGGCGAGACGGCAGTCACGTGAACCTGATCTCTTTCGCTTACTTATCTCGCCACGAATTATTAGCGGCGGTAGCACAGTTTGCCCAACACGCTGCATTTTGAATGTCACTTGGTTCTCGAAAACCTACCAAGTTTTATTGACGGATTTTGACCTCTTGCACATGGCGTGAGTAAGCACTCTCGAAGAATCATGACCTTTTTCTAAGAGTACGCAAATCAGCGAATAATGGATGTTTATCCAGGAGCTGGCGAATGCGCAGAGCATGGAAAAAATTCCCGAGGGGCTCTGCACACACAGAACGAAGCACATGTAATTTGCTTTGAGTGCGAAATTGAGGACAGAGGGCGTTGCTCACGGAGCTCGGTGACCTATTATGCGGTACCACCGGCCCTTAGTCCCACCTCTGGCTATCTCCATCTGAGGAGTCCGACCAAGCATCATCATCACAACATATTGTGCCGCAATACAAAAAGATAAGATATGAAAAAGCAAAATACTGGAGAGTATAGAATGCCAAAAAGGCGACAGACTACTCAGCAACATATTATGCGTCAAGATAGAGATCTTGATTGCATGGAAAGGTAAGCGGGATGGGGTGGAACAAAGTAACTCACAACACAAACGCCATTGGGGTCGGCTCCTTGTTATGTCGAAAAATGAATCCAAACAGACATGTTTGTCGTCTTTTGGACCACAGGCAGGCAGTCGGGACACATTACCTGAGGCGAACTTCGAAGTGAGGGATTTCATTTTTCTTGACCAAATCATCATCCACACACCCAGCGTACAAACAACGCACGACGCGGGAGTCGGTGGCCTGGCATGCGCAATGCGTGGCCTAGCCATCGGAGTCTTGTGTGTAAAATAACGGTGCTGAGCGGTTCACTCGCTCTTCCTGCACTAGACACACGACGCTGAACATGCTCATTGCTCACCCGGTGCTCCCCACCAGACATTGGCTAAGCTGCGAGGGCAGCAATGATCGATTGTGTTCAGCTTCGTTATGTCTGTCGACTTGATGGACCAGGTTTCGCAACCATAAGGTAGGGTAAAAGGAACGGCTGCATTGTAAACTCTGCCCTTCAGGGCGAGATGGATATCTCGCCGGCGCCACAGGTTGCGGAGATTGGCAAAAGCGCCTCCTGCTTTTGCTATGCGGTTTGTAATCTCATCTTCGACGACTTCTAGCTGATCTCCACCAAGGGTCAGCGCAGGAGTGGGTCCCTGCCAATCTTGGATGACTTTGCACTTCGAGGGTACAGAGCCTAGCCCGAAACGACTGACAGCCAGTGCTACCTGGCACGTTTGAAAGTTGTCACAGATAAGGGCAATGTCGTCGGCTTATTACAAATCAAGAAGTCGTTCACCAGGGAGCAGCTCCACGCCTTGCAGGTATTGTCCAGTTAACGCAGTTCTCATGACTTCATCCATGGAGAAGTTAAAAAGGAAAGATGACAGCAGGCATCTTTGTCTCACGCCGCTGGAGATATTAAAGCGCAAGTTTCCGTAAGCGCTCACTCTGACCGAACTATGCGAGTATAGCGCCCCTATGACATCTAAATATTTCTCGGACACACCTTTGCTCAGTAGGCAGTCTCAAAGAGCACATCGATCAACCGAATCAAAAGCCCTTTTCTATCTAGAAACACGACTACGGTGGCTCACCGATAACTATGGCAGTGCTCCAACAATTGACGTAGTGTAAAGATGTGATCAATACAGCCACGACTTCGACGAAACCCGGCATGTTCCTCGCGAAGAACAAC